GAGGGTAGGAACAGTTTTACTAAATCCGTATCCTCTGTCCCACAAGGTGTTGCAGCTCACAACCAAGAGAGACTCCTGCAATTGCCCCCGTGGGGAAAGTAAGAGTGTCTAGCTTCTGCAACTGTGTAGGTGCTACCCAAGTGATCCACCTCATTTTTGTCCAACTACAATTCTTGGAGGATCAGCACAGTTGAGTGGCTGAGAGCTGCTGGTAGCCGGGAAGAGAGCTAGGAACTCAAAGCAACAAGGGTTTGAATCCCAAAAAAGTGCCACAGTCTGACTTAACTGTTTTATGGGCTCCATCAGGATGCCTTCCTAAAATCTGCCTGGGATGCTTCATCTGTGTGTAGATCCCCTTGTCCAGCTGGTCCATGGATAACCTAGGGCTTCATGCTCCTCACCACTCCTCTCATGGCCAGCTCCGTGTGTGTCCCTGAACTGTGAGGGAGCCTTTGCAGGTGGCTTATAAGCATGTGTAGTCAGCTAGCTTGACTCTGCAGGATTGGGAGAAGGCACACAGACTTGAGCATCTCAGGACACTATCCAAGGTGTGCGGGGATTCTCATCACCCAGCCTGGCTTTGTAAGATTGAGAGAGGGTATACGGTCTTAATAATTTTCCTCCTAAAAGGGAGCATCAGGAGTAAAGCAGGCACTTCCATAGAAGTGATATGAGAGGGTCTCCAAATCCTTAGCCAGGCTGCTTGGTAAAGGCATTTCTCTCTTGAAGCTAGACAGTAAAAACTGCCTCTTCAAATGCAGTGCAAGTGTTCAAGAAACATGAACACGACATCATCAAAGGACTAAAAGTATTTTTCAGTATCTGACCTCAAGGAAATGGAGAAATATGAAAATTGCCTGACAAAGAATTAAAAATAATTGTTTTAAGGGAGCTCATCTAGCTGCAAGAGATTATGGATAGACAATTCAATATCAGGAAAACAATGCATAAAATGAGAAATTCAACAGATAGAAATCAGAAAAAAGAACCAAATAGAAATTCCGAAGCTGAAAGAAACAATGGTTTAAATGAAAAAATGAAATAGAGAGTTTCAAGAGTAGACTTGATCAAGTGGACGAATGGATCTGTGAATTTGAATTCAAGTAATTTGAAATTATCCAGTTGGAGGAGAAAAAAAAGAATGAAAAGGAATAAAAAAGCTCACATGCTTTATGAGGCACTGCCAAGTGAAATAATGTGCACATTATGGGAATCTCATGGGGAGAAGAGAGAAAGAAATGGAAACATATTTAAAGAAATAATGGTTGAAAACTTCCCCAGTATTGAGAAGGATATGGATATCCAAGTACAGTATATAAAAGTATAAAACTCAATGGTAACAGTAAATATAAAAGAAAATTCATAATACTCTAATGCTGTAATTGTGGTCTTTAAATCAATTTTAACTTTAGTGTATAGATAAAAAGATAAAAACATTAACTATAGCTGCAATAATTTATTAATGGATGCAAAATATAAAAAGAAGTAAATTGTGATGTTAAAAGCAAGAAATACAGGAGGAATGGCAAAAATGCAGAGTTTTGTATGTGATCAAAGTTAAGTTGTTATCAGTCTAAAATAGATAGTGTAACTGTAAGAAGTTTCATGTAGACCCTGGACAACTACACAGCAAAAATCTATAGTAGATGCACAAAAGATAAAGGGAAGGAATCAAAACATACCACTATAAAAATCATTATATCAGAAAGATTGAAAGGAAGAGCGGAAGAAAGGAACAGACAAACTGGAGACACAGAAAACAACAAAATGCCGATAGTAAGTCCTTATCGATCAATGATCCCTTTAGATGTAAATGGATTAAATTCTCTAATCAAAAGATATTAAGTGGTTGAATGAATATTAAATAGCAAACCAAGCCAAACTAAATCAAACCAAGCAATACCTTATTATCTCCTATCTATAAAAGACTCACTTTTGCCTCAAGGACACATGTAAGCTGAAATTTAAGAGATGGAAAAAGATATTTCAGGCAAATGGTAACCAAAATAGATCAGGGTGGCTATACTTATATTAAACCAAATAAGCTTCAAGTGAAACTGTCATAAGAGACAAAGAAAATCATTATATAATAATGAAAGGGTCAATTCATCAAGGGAATATAACAATTATATGTGTGTGTGTATGTGAGTGTGTGTGCATGCACACGTCTGTGTGTACTTGGGCATGTAAAAAGCAGATATTAACAGATCTGAAGAGAGAAATAGGCAGTAATACAATAATAACAGGAAAAGCAGTACTCCATTTTCAACAATTGATAGATCAGCCAGACAGGAGAACCAATAAAAACAATCGGATTTAAACTGTGCTTTATATCAAATGGACCTAGAAAGATAAAATAAACTGGGTTTTCTTATAAACAATACACATTAATTTCTCACAGTTCTGGAGGCTGAGAAGTCCAAGGTCAAGGCTAACCATTTTGGGGTCTAGTGAGGGCCTGCTTTCTTCATAGACTGATGTCTTCTCACTGTGGCCTCACATTCAGGAAGCAACTAGCTTGCTCTGTAGTCTCTTTTTTAAGAGCAGCAATTCTAATCACCTCATGAAGATCCCATCTCCTAATACATCACCTTGGGAGTTAGGATTTCAAGAGGGCCACAAACATTCCAACCAAAGCAATGACTGGTGGGTTGAAGAAGAAATCAAAGGGGGAATTTAAAAAATCTTTAAGGCACAAGTGGAAACCAAATATATAAAAACCTTCAAGACACAGCAGAAGCAGTTTAACAGAGTATTTTGTGTAGACAAATGCCTACATTAAGAGAAAAGGAAGACCTCAAATGATCTAATTTCACATCTCAAGGATCTAAAAAAAATAGATGAACAAATAATGCCCAAAGTAAGCAGAAAGAAGGAAGTAAAAATGATCAGGGTAAAGAAAATGAAATTGTGACTAGAAAAACAACAGAAAAGATCAATGAAACTAAGAGCTATTTTTTGCAAAGGTAAGCAAAATTGACAACTTCTAGCCAGACTGAGAAAAGAGAGGACAAATAAAATCAGAAATGAAAGAGGAAACATTGCAACTGATACCACAGAAATGCAAAGGATCACAAGAGACTATTAACTATGTAAAACATTGGATAGCCTAGAAGAAGTAGATAATTTCCTGAGATATACAACACCCTAGTACTGAGTCATGAAGAAAGAGAAAATCTGAACAGACCAACAACAAATAAGGAAATTGAATCAGTAATCAAAAATTCCTCAGTGAAAGAAAGTGCAAGACCAGATGGCTTCACTGGTAAATACTACTAAACATTTAAAGAAACAATACCAATCATCCTCAAATTCTTAGAAAAAAATTGAAGAGGATGGAACTTTCAAGCTCATTGTATGAGGCCTAGGTTAGCCCAATATCAAAGACAGACAAAGGACACTATGAGAAAAGAAAATTATTGGCCAATATCCTTAATGAACGTAGATGTCAAAGTCCTCCACAAAATATTAGCAAACTGAATTTGAACACACATTAAAACATATATCTTATTCAAATGGGATTTATCTGTGGGGTGCAAGGATGGTTCAACATATGCAAATTGGTAAATGTCCTACACTACATTAGCAGAATGAAGGATAAAAACCATCTATATAGATGCAGAAGAAGAATTTGACAAAATTCAATACCATTTCATGATAAAACTCTCAACAAATTAGGTACAGAAGGAATGATTGTTAACATAAAGGCCATATATGACAAACCCACACTAATATTATATTCCACAATAAAAAGTAGAGAATTTCCCGCTCAGACAAGCAATAAGACAAGGACAGTCACTGTAGCCACTTTCTTCAGAAGTATTGGACTTCCTGGACAAAGCAATTAAGCAATAAAAAGATATAAAACACACCCCAATTAGAAAGGGACAGGTAAAATTGAAATGAGTAGACATTTCTCCAAAGAAGACTAAAAAATGGCTAATAGGCATAGAAAAAAGTGCTCAGCATCACAAATTCTCAGGGAAATACAAAGCCAAACCACAAGAAGCTATCCCTCACACTTGTTAGGAAGGCTATTATAAAAAAGACAAGAGATTACGAATGTTGGTGAGAGTGTAGAGGAAAAAACCCCCTTTTACATTGTCAGTGGGAATGTAGATCAGTGTAGCCATCATGGAGGTTCCAAAAGAAATACAACATATGTAGCACTGTCATATGACCATGCCATCCCTCTTCTAAGTATATACTCAAAGACAATGAAATGATCACTTCATAGAGATAATTGCACCCCCATATTAATTGCAGCTTTATTCACATTAACCAAGATATGGAAACAATCTGTGTGTCCAATGACTGTCAAAAGGATAAAGAAACCAATCTCTTTCTCTCTCTCTCTCGCTCTCTCTCTCTCTCTCTCTGAGAGTGTCGGGAGCAATGCTACATAATTTTGGGGAAACATCATTTGATTAGGCCTAGTTCTCCTGCCTACAGGCCAGCTATGGCATTTCGAGACATAATTCCATTTTGGCCTCTGGTCACAACTGAGACCTCAATGATCCGGTGATGCTGCGATGCTCCAGGACAAGATTACAGCAGTTGAAGACACCCTGGGAGGAACAAAATCTTCAGCTGCCTAGTTCCTCATTGATCTAGGAATTCCCTGGCTCTCTAGCCATCTGTTACATTTGTTTCTCCCGATGTACTTAACTCTCTGTCCTGAGTCATTTGTTACATTTGTTTCTCCTGATGTACTGAATAAAGGTGTGGCAAGCTCTGGGGGGCTTTCCTCTTTGCTGCCCAGAGCAGCACTGATCAGGCCCAAAGCTCAGCTTCTTCTCCAAGTCTCATTTTTTCTACCTTTCCTGTACAATAAGTTAATTCGCCTTGTGCTGCCATGGCTCGCAGGAGACTAGGACTTACTGCAGAGGTTCTAGTAACGTCTCCTTTCCCTGTTTCCTACACGAGAGGAACATTATTCATTCTTTAAAAAGGAGATCCTGCTATTTGCCATAAAATGAATGAATCTGGAGGACACTATACTAAATGAAATAAGTCATACACAGAAAGACAAATGTGGCATGATCTCACACGTGATATCTAAAAAATTAACCACATATAGTAGAAAGAGAGAGCAGAATTGTGTTATCAGGAGCCAAAGGCCATAGTAATGAGGAGATGTTTGTCAAAGGGTACAAAGTTTCAGTTATGTGGGATAAATAAGTTCTGAAGATCTAATGGACAGTATAGTGGCTGTAGTTTATGTTAGCAGAGCCTTGAAATTTGCTAACAGTAAATCTATCTTAAGTGTTCTCACCACACATTCACACACACACACACACACACACACACACACGACAGTACTATGGAAGGTGATGGATATGTTAACTAGCTTGGTTGTTGTGGTCATCATTTCATAATGCACAGTCAGCCTTTTGTATCTGAAGCTTCCAAATACTTGGATTCAACTATGGATGAAAAAAATGCATTTGTACTGAATATGAACAGATCTTTTTTTCTTGTCATTCCCTAAACAATAAAATATAACAACTATTTGCATTTTATTGGGCATTATAAGTGATGTAGAGATAAGGATACGGGAGGTTGTGCATGGTTTAGATGCAACTAATAGGTCACTTTTTGTAAGAAACTTGATCATTGGCAGTTTTTGATATTCTTGAGGACTCTGGAATTAGCTTTCTACAGACACCACAGGATGATTATGTATGCATTTCAAATGATTATGCTGTATACCTTAAATATATACCATTTTTAAACTTGTTAACCCTTGAAGCTGGAAACAAAAGTGGCTACGAGGTAGCAGGATTTCTGTATGCTAAGGGATGTTGGAATCTGTGCCTGGAATAGAGTCAGCTACTTGGTGCTTTTAAAGATTCCTGACAATAGAGTCACCTTTCTGAAAGCAGAGAAGACCTTGGCTAGACATCATCAAACTGTGCTCCCTCAAGTAGGAAAATTTGAGGAAGTGTCCACAGGCAGGTTGCAGTGTCTGTCTCAGTAAATCCTCATATGATTTTCTCACTGACTCTAGGAATAATGAAGATGGCCAGGGTCCCCTCCAGCCTGAGAGTTTATTATTGAATAAAAAACTTTAAGAAAATGAGAATTGTTATTTTCCTTTCTCAGTTTCTCAATCTTTAATCTATAGCTGCTCAGAATGACTTTGTTCAATCATAGGGCTCTTTTCTTTCTATGTGGGTGGGCAAAGCATCTGTCATTGGACCTTTTGGACTCTTTCATGAGGAGCAGAAGGAAAATATCTGGGAGCAGTTTGTTGTATTGAGGAAGCAAGAAGAAAACACATTTTTTCCAACCCAGATGGGCCACTTTGGAAGAGAGCTGGATCACTGATTTGCAAAGGTGTGGGGAGGGACAGTATAGGAGACATACAAGTATTTCTATATAGGCAGCTATGAGGGAAACTGTCCCTGCCTTTGCTACTGTTGGAATATGCTCAACCAAGTGAAGGGTGAGGGATTGGCACACTGAAGGAGGAAATAAAATGTACAAATTCGAGAAGTCCAAGAGCATATTCAGGATGGGTGTTTGACATAGGGTTGCTGTCCCCACTCCTTGGCATGCCCTGCGTATTTCTGCCCTTACCCAAAAGCTTCCCTTGCCCTGCAATGTTTCTTTCTCCCTCACTACTTTACTCTCCCTGTTGGAAGTACCCTTCCAATACAGGAAGTGGCCTCTTGACTTCCTGTTCATCTTTTCTCTCTACTCTAACCAGGCAGAGTCCAGCTGACCCATCCTGTACATCCAGGGCTTCTTGTGGACTTGACATTGTTTATCCTCACATCCTACAAGACTCAAGTTCCCAGACAGAGCCCTAGAGAACCTTTCCCCTTCGTTGGACTGGTGTCTAGGACTTTGGCATCCTTAATCCCTCTCACACAGAGCTCTGTGTGTAATTATGGCTGGATTCAAGGTTACCATAGCAATTCATCTACTCACCTATCTATGGTAAGGCTTTAGGTGGGATGAGTTCTATAATTTCCAGTGAATAAGAAATTAAGGAAACTGAGCTAGAGAAATGACATTCCTAGGCTGGCTATAGGGACCCAGAGTGCCCTTCTCACCTATTTTGCCTGTAATGCAGAGAAAGGCTCTACCTAGGGTGAGGCCTGCCAAAGCCCAGGCCAAAGCCCAGCATGGGGGGACCTCCACTGGGTCCAACCCAGAATCAGAAGCAAAACTGGATATGGAAACTCAGAGTTAAGGTCAAAATGAAACAGAAGTTCTGCATCAGCACTAAAAGGAGTCCTGAGACTTAAGGTTCAATCAATAGCACTTCCTTTTTCCAGCCTTCTTTCTAGATGCACCAGCGGCCAGGTGAATTGGACACTTGAGAATATCCTTTTGTTGGATTCTCCTTCCCCTTACATCTTGGATTGAGTATCCTGGAATCCTGGGTACATTTCTTGTTTTCATGTCAATCTTCTTCAGCAGCTATAAGCCCTTTAAGAATGGAGACAAGTGTTCTTCCCAGTATGTCTGGCATGAAATCCATTGGAAATTTTCAACAAATATATATAGGTTTTTGGGTGCAGGGGTTGAACCCAGGGTTTTGCACATGCTAAGCACGTGCTATACCACTGAGCTATACTCCCAGCCCTAATATATTGTTTGAATGGCTTAGTAAATCTGTAATATTGTACATCAACCCCAAGTCCCTTGATTTCCTTTGCTTGATTTTTGGGATTAAACTTTATGATCCTGGGCTGTTTCCAGGTCTGCCTCACTCCACCATAACAGTTCAAAAAGTGAGGAAGACTTGCTGCTGTTTATGGATACTTATCGGATAGCCCAGAAAGAGGCATGTAATGGCCCCTCACTGAATCCTAGGATGCTTAATCTGAAAGAAAACATCATTCAACTAGGGTTGCTCTCTTGCTGTTCTAGAAATTGCTTTTGTTCCCCACTGGAGTCTAACTCAGCTACTCCTCATTGACCCTCAGGACAGAATTGACTGCCTTACCTTGTGTAGGCCTAACTTTTGAAAGATTCAATTTTCCTAATTTCCCTCCAGGTCCTGAGCTGAGTCAGTGACTGATTAGGTCTAGAATAGTCATGTGCTGGTTGTATTTATAGCACTAATTAATTAATACAGGTAAAGCGCTCAGAAGATAAAGTGCTAGGAGAGTGCCATATCTTAAAATGACTATTAACTCACGGGCTGGGGACCTTTGAATGTGAGCGTCTGGGCAAAAAAAGTGCCGTCACAGGTGGAGCCTTTTAAAAAGCATCTACTTGATTACGGAAGACATAAATTAACTGGAGGAAGCAACGCTCCAGTCAGTGACAGACTGTCGTCAGAATCCTTCCCCGTTTGGTTTCCATTTAAATCAACACATATGGCGAGGGGTTGTTTCAGGGTTTTAAGCATACGTGCACTCTCCTGCAGGAATGTGGAAGCCTCGATTAAAGTGAAGTGGGGGGTGGGGGTGGGGTGGGGTGGCTTCCCAGCAATAGGAAAAATAAGCATGGAACTCTGCAGGGTTGGGGAGCCCAGAGATGGGTGGTTTGTTTTGTTTTATTGTGGTCAGAGGCACCTGAAACCCTTCAAGCCTGTAGTGTTGACACATATGCCTGGAAGGAATTGGTGGCACTAAGATGTGGCCGAGTTTGCTGGTGATCAGGAGATCACCTGAGTAGCCTTGGGGAGTTTTCATGGAGTAAGAGGATCCCTGGAGAAAGATTCATGATGATTGGGGTTTCAGCTTCCCAGCTCAGCCACCCAAAATGAAATGAAGGCCAGAGCATGTTTTGTGCAATTTAATGTCATATTTGGGGTTGCTTCAGAACTCTGCTGGGTCCTGAATCTTTCTGGGTCTGGCCTGGCCTCCCCCCCTGAGTGGGAATGCCCATTGATCCTGATGGAAAGATTGATCCTCTGAATTGTCCAAGAGTCAGCCCCTCTCCCTGCCACACATGGGCTTGGAGATATCTTAGCAAGGTTATCATCAACCAATGTATTTAATCCCCCAGGTGAGTGCAGCAATCTGGGCACAGGGCCTGGAAAACAGATCTCAGATGCCTTTAGCAGGGCCTCTTTCACAGTGACCAGCACCCATATCTCAGGTGAGGCTAGGGAGAACCTGGGGCTTCTTTATCATAGCCTCTCTGGGCCAAGATGAAGAAATGCCATTATATCTAGAGAGACCCTGGAGAAGGGCCACCCTGAAGTCCTTAGATACCTGCTTCAAGAATAAGTTAACTGTATCATTTGGAGTCTATTCAGTAAAACATTCCCAGGTGTTACAAAACAGGGAATGTAATACAGGGAATTGGCTGTAGAGGCATTAAAAGAGTGCAAGGAGAAAAAAGAATGGTGAGTTTACTCGTTGATAAACAGCTACTGGAAGTGTCTACCACTCCCAAGGCTTGAGGAACAACAGGGAAAAAGAAGTTAGCCAGCACCCATGGTTTGGTGCCACCGAGACTGTTGCTGCTAAGAAAAAGCTGGCTGAGCTGGAGCCTAGGCCTACATTTTCTGGCCTCCTGCTGCTGCTGCCACTGTTACTGTCTTGGCTGCTGATCCCTCCCTGGCTGGGCTCCTCCACAGCTGCTCCTGCTACTCCTGCTGGAGAAGCCAGGAAAAATGGCTTCTTCTTTCTTTATGCTTTTTACCCCGGGGATTTTTATTGGTGGAACCTAGTTGAAGCCAGCCAGCTAGCAAAGTGGGGTAGAAGATGCAGTTTGCAGGCATCTAGCCCCAGGGCTAGAGAAATGTGCATAGAAGGGTGGTTATTTGCTGAGAGATAGCATACTGCCTGTCATGGGGTTTTTTTTGCGGGGGGATTTGAAGATTAAAGATGGACATGGTGGTGGACACCTGTAATCCTAGTACTATGGCAGGCTGAGGCATGAGGATTTCAGGTTCTAGCCAAGCCTGGGCAACTTAGTGATTTACTGAGACTCTGACTCAAAATGAAAAGGACTGGAGATGTAGCTAAGTATGGAGGACCTGGGTTCAATCCCTAGTACTGCAAAAAGAACAAGAAGGAGGAGAAGGAGAAGGAGGAGAGAGAGGAAGAGGAGGAAGAGGAAGAAGAGGAGGAGAAGAGAACATGACAAATAATTACTATGTACTGATTTAGCATCTGCACTTCTCTAGGCCCTGGTTATAAAGCAGTGAGAAAAACATGATTCTTGCTTAGATAGATCTAGTAGGAGTTTATTCCCTATGGCCAGGCACTGGACTAAAAAGATGAATGATCCCATTCAATTCTCACAATTCAAGTTTTCAAATGAGGTTATAGAGGCTCAGGTAACTTATGCTAAGAGAAACTCACGTGAGATCACATCCACTGTGAAGTTCACTGCCAATCTTGAAAATTCATGTGAAGTTCTTGTCCATGGGGGTGCATTTGCCTTCCCAGGTGAGGTACTTTCAAACAGCCTATCTTGGACCTTGTCTAATAGGACAGTGACAAGATGGGTTGTCCCAGTAGGTGTGGTCACTACTGCTGCTCCATATCCCGGCATTCTTCATGGTTTACCCGGTGATCCATCATCTACCCTGGTCTCCACTCTTCAGAGCTCCTAGAGGACTATCACGTCTGGGACCTTGAGGGTATGAGGGAGGCAACAATACTGGTGCCACTTTTCTTTCTGGTGGGTGCCAAGGAAGAGTCTCAGTGTATTCATCTTTGTGTCCCTTGAACCTAGCACATTGTTTTACACATAGCAAGTGGTAAAGATATATTGTTTGAATAGTTGATCCTTATAAAAAGGCCAGGTCATGCAGCCCACATTTGGCTGTCTTCAAAAGTAAATCTAGCTAAACACAAACAGAAATGCCTCCGACTCTCCCACCTCCACCTGGAAATAAGGACCTTCACAGCAACATTATTTGCAGCGGCTAAAATATGAAAGCAACCCAAGCATCCATTGGCAGATGAGTATATAAGTAAAATGTGTTATAACCTTACAATGGAATATTATTCAGCCTGGACAGGGAAGGAAATTTTGACACATGCTACAACATGGAGGGACCTCGAGAATATTATGCTAAGTGAAATAAGATAATCACCAAAAGACAAATTGTATGATCCCATTTACATAAGGTTCTTATTGTAGTCATGGAGGCCAGAAAGAAAGTGGTGGTTTCCAGAGGCTGAAGAATTGACAAGGCAGTAGAGTGGTAATTATTGTTCAATAAGTGCAGTGTTTCAAGTGGAAAAAAGTCTAGAGTTCTGGAGACAGACGGTGGTGATGATTGCATATAATATGAATTTATTTATTTCTGTGTGTGTGTGTGTGTGTGTGTGTGTGTGTGTGTGTGTTGCTAGGGATTGAATCCAGGGCCTTGCACATGCCAGAGAAATGCTCTAGCACTGAATGTACCCTTAAAAATGGTTAAAACAATAAAATCTCATGTTATGTGTATTTTAGAATTAAAATAGAAGTAAACTCAGGACTCTGCATTGTGCTTCTGGTTCATGGTGACTCCTAACCCTTTCAACCTGAGAATGCTGTTGGGAAAAGATCCATGGGAGAACTTGGGTTTATCCCCTGTCTTTACCAGAGCCATGAATTCCAAGGTCTATTTCTGGCTATGGAAATAATGAATCCCCAGCTCTTCAGGCCTTTATTTGAACCCCTAGACTGGTCTTGTTAAGATCAGGCCTCTGGAGGCAGAATGAGCATTTGTCTAGAGGTGTGGGTGCAAACACTTTTGATGTTTGTCTAAGCAGCGCACCCTGAGGCTATATTCATCTGTACCCATCGGGTTTCTTTGCTGACAGGCAACCGAAACAAAATCCAGCACATTAGGAAATTCCTGGAAGGCTTCCAGACAGCCCAAGAGAGAATGGGAAGGCTGGAGAACAGGCTTGGGAAAAGGAGAGGAAGCAAGGTGGCTCAAGACTCTAGGAAGAGTTGTAGACAATGATGAACATCTGGACACTTCAGCAAATCCATGCGCCAGGGCAGAATGAAAGGGCTCCCTCCCTGCACCACTTTGCCTGGGGAAAGGAGAGTGATTGGTCAAACCTAGATAAGGGTTGCCTCTTGGCTAGGAGAGGGCAGGACACTCAAGAGGGGTGAGGACCTTTGAAGAAACTGGGACCTAAGGAGAAGTGGCAATGCATGTTCTGCAGCCAAAATCACAAATATCCTGACTGAGACCACATGACAGTACACAGTGGCTCTGGAATCCTACTGTGACCCTGCCAGAAGCTGTAGATAGCTCTGGGGAGCAGGAGTAGGCAGAAGGGTTGTCCTTTGCTCTCCTCATAAACCCAGGCTATACATTAAGGCCTACCTTAGTCTTGAATGTGTTTGCCTGAGGTTCTGGGTCCTCAGTCCCTGGGCTGAGGGGGGCCATGTATGTCTTGGCTTGCTTAGATTTGACACCATTTTCCATCTGTTGCCTCCTGGACTGTCTTGGAGAGAATACTTACTATTGCATTTTGCCAAAATCCCATAAATCTCCAGGAGTAGCAAAGCAGCAACATTTGAGGCCTTTGTGAATCTTTACAGGACCCCGTGGGAGGGAAAACCAGCCACAAATGAGTGAATGACCTCATTTGCCCTGGAAAAATATGAATCTTGGCTAACTTTTCCCTTCTTCCCAAACATGCAGTAAAATGTTTACTTCCACATAGACTTTTAAATGCACCACTGATGTACTCGCTCCCCAAGTACATCAGCAGATTTAAAAGGTTCATAAAAATTCCTTTCATATGGCTAGAGTAAACTTTTGTGCAATTGTTCTTCTGTGAGATTAGCAGTTCACAGACCATCTTTTAAAGTTTGATCACTGGTTTGTCTGAGACCTCATTATCAGTAGACTGGGGAATGATGAAGCTTATTTATCACCAAAGCTGGTGAATCAACATAATCCATTAAGTCTCTAGGGCCTTATATCTCAAGGACCTTATTCCTTTGTGGAGCATGAAATGCTGTTCTCTCTCCACCTCCTCATGCTATTGTTTCAAGCATGTTACTTATTGGTGAGCAGCTGTGGGTGCCTCGATGTTGGGCCAGTACTGCCTTGTCAGGGATTAAGGGGCAAATGAGAACAAGGAACTGGTCTTGTGGGGCACATGGTCTACAATGTCCATTGCAGACACGTGTGCTACCTGGGCCCACTTTATAAAATGCTTATCTCTCAAACCTGACTTAGTAGGCTGGAGCTTAAACAAGTAGACAATAAAGTGAAACTTGTCCAGAGGAACTAAGATGTAAGATATCAGCAGCTGTATGCAAGCAATGTCATGGGTATAGTGTACAGTCAGGTGGTTCCACCATACCAAGGTTGTGGTCCCACCACACCAAGCACACCAAGCAAGTGACAGTACTTTAGGACGTTTGCCTTTCACTACTGTCTGCCTGGTCTGCTCTTCCTCCAGATGTCTAATTGGCTAACTTCCTCAACTCCGTTAAGTGCTTACTCCAACCTCGTCTCCTCCTCTGTCATCATCATCATCATCATCATCATCATCATCATCATCATCATCATCATCATATTTTAAAAACACATAACATTAAATTTACCATCTTAATTCCTTTTTTTGTGGTAATGAGATTGAATCTAGGGACTTTGCATTAACCTACATATCCAGTACACTTTATTTTTATTTTGACCCTTGTTAAATTTCTAAGTTGCCCATGCTGGGCTCAAACTTATGATTCTCCTGCCTCAGTCTTCTGAGATTACAGGCATGTGCCTCCACACCTGGGTCTGTCTTGTTCCTTTTTAAGTGTATAGTTCAGTATTAGGTTATTCAAACATCATCACTATCCTCTTGAATTTTTTTGTGTGTTGCAAAACTGAAACTCTGTATTAAATAATAACTCCTCATCCCCTTCTACCCCCAGGCTCTGGCAACCATTATCCTGTTTCTGTCTCATGAAATTGACCACTCTGGAAACCTCATATAAGTGGAATCAGACAGTATCTGTCCTTTTGTGATTTTTTTTTGTTTAGCATAATGTACTCAAGGTTCATCCATGTTCTAGCGTGTGTCAGAATTTCTTCCATTTAAAAAGTGGAATAGTATTGCATTGTATGGATGTATTGCTATTTTATTTATCCACTCATCTGTCAATAGATACTTGGCTTGCTTTCATGTTTTGGCTATTGTGTAAATATATGGGAGTACAAATATTTCTTTGAGATACTGTTTTCTATTATTTTAGGTAGACACTCAACAGAGGAGTTGCTACATCATATAGTAATTCTATTTTTAATATTTTTAGGAGCCTCCATACTGTTCTCCATACTAGCTGTACTATCATACATTCTTACCCACAGTTCATCCTGATGTATGTAAAACAATATCTCATTGTGGTTTTGATTTCCATTGCTGTAGTATATTAGTAAGCTTTCTTGTTGCTGAGACCAAATACCCGAAATACACAACTTAAAGCAGGAAGGGTTTATATTTGCTCATAGTTTCAAGGGGTACAGACCACGACTGGCTCCAATGCAGAAACATCATGGCATAAGGGCATGGAGGAGTAAAGCTACTTAATTCATGGTGGCCAAGAAGCAGAGCAAGGAAGAAGCACCAGAGAATAATGGGCAAGGAACCAGCTATAGACCCCAAGGTTATGCATCCATGACCAAGACATTTGCAGAAGTGTGCTTTACTAATTTCTTCAGTGACTTCCAAGCCAATCTAATTGACACATTTAAGTTGAAGCACCATATTCAACTTATTGTCAACTTGATACTTGCTATGATACAGATCTAGATGTCCCCTAAAACTCTCATGTGCTCAGAAGTGGGGCTTTTGGGAGGTGATTGGATCATGGAGAACTATACCTATCAATGGGTTAATCCACTGACAAATCCATAGCTAAATGTGTTGTTAGGAGGTGGGGGCTGGTTGGAAGAGGTGGGTTATTGAGTGTGTGGCCTGGGTATACCTCTCTCCCCAGCTCTGTTCTTCTCTCTTTGCTTCCTGGCTGCCATGATGTAAGCAGCTTTCCTTTGCCACACCTTTCCACCATACCCTTCCTATCTTAGAGCCAACCAACTACATGGACTAAATCCTCTGAAAGACATAAGTCCTTTAAGTTGTGAGTGTTACGTATTATGTCTCAGCAACAAGAAAGTAACTAAAGACCCAAAAACACATCTCCTTAAGCCACACTTAATCTCCAAAAAATACAGTAACAAGTAAACAATTCTACCTAACATGGTACAACTATCCTGAGTATAATCAAAATGGAAATAATTGCTTCCCCAAAGACTCAGCAATTCTGAAAGTTTTCAAAAGACAAAGAACATAATCTCTTCTGAGACCCAAGGAAAGTCTTAACTGAACCTCTGTTAAAATAAAAAGTAAGTTACATAATCCCAGGGTACAATGGCACAGCGTAAACATTCCCATTCCAAAGGGAGGAATGGGGGATAGAAAATAGGATCAAAGCAAGACTAAAACCCAGAAGGGCAAGCATTAAGTTCTGTCCCTTCTTGTCCAGCATCCAGGGTACATAGTGGCGAGATGTAAGTTTTAGTGGGGTTGGGTGGCCCCACCCCTTTGATCTTGCTGTTTGCATCCCACATGGCCTCTTTCTTGGGCTGGCTCTGCTCTTGGTTGGCACATTTCCTCAGCAGATGTTCTATATTCCTGGCATCTCTGACTTCCTGAGATCTGTATTGCATATTTCATTTTATTCCCAGAGCTTCACACACTGTCCTCTCAGGGGCTCCTTGCCTGGATTCCCATGCCTTCCTTTGAAATCTAGGTGGAAGCCCTCTTGATTGTACAACTCTTGCATTCTTAACAATGGTAAAACCAGCATCATATGGATGATGCCAACATCTGCTGTCAGGGGAAGCTGTAGCCAGAGCCCCTTGGACCATGGCTGCAGTGGCCTCTGAGTGCCTGGATGGCTGACCACAATGAAATAAATCCCAGAAAACCAATTTTGTAGGAGGCCCTTCTCTTTTTTCTGTTCCTGGGAAGGAGGCCCTTCTTGAGCAGAGATCCCAGGGACTCTCTTCTCAAATGAAAAGTTGACACTTTTACACCCTTAAGCCTGTGAAGGGTGAGGATCTTGCTGATTTCTGAGATGCCTATAAGGCATCTTTCTATTTGTCCCTGTCCAAAGTACTTGGTTTCTTTCTGATGGTGCTTATCTCTTTAGCAACCCCACCTCCTTTGGCCCCAGATTTACACATAGTTTCTTTTGGGCTACAATTTAAGTTTTTCTGCTCTGCTTTTTGTCTCTGATTGTTACTATAAATCTAGCTAAAAGCAGTCATCCATGCCCATGCCACAGGCTATGTTGGGCTGCCTTGAAATTTTCTCTGCCAGGTCAATTATTTCATCACCTTTATTATTTTTTTTTTCACAATCATTACTTTTATTTCATTTGTCCAATTTTAATTTACACAAAATACTATTTTATAATTAAATGAATGATGGTACAATAGAAGGAAGCATGGCTGCTTATTTTTTAAAGAAAAACCCTGTTTCTATGCACTTGACACCTAGATTAAATTTATTTATTTGTTTTTAAAAATTAATTTGATTGGTACATTTTAGGTATACAATATAATGACATTTATCATTGGAAATTTGTACCTTTACATAATCTATCTTGTTTTTTATTTTTCCCCCATTCCCCTGCCTCCCTTCAACCTCTCCACCGTTCCCTATATACAAAGACTTTGTTTCCATTTTTTCCTTTTCTCATATTAATTCCATTCCTTTCTTTCCTTTTCCCAACCCCTCCCACTTCCCCTTCCCCTTTGGACCTTTTCTTCCTGTTTCACAATATCTATTATGCCATTTGATCCTTATTTACACTTTCAGTTTCTCACACCAGAGAAACAGTCTCTATCTCAACCTGATAAAAGCCATCTATGAAAAACCAACAGCCAATATCATACTAAATGCTCAAAAACTGAAATCCTTCACACTAAAACCAGGAACAAGACAAGGATGTCCACTATCACCACTCCTGTTCAATCTAGTTTTGGAAACATTAGCCACAGCAATTAGACAGGAGAAAGAAATAAAGGGAAATGAAGACGTTAAATTGTCATTATTTGCAGATGACATGATACTCTATATAGAAGATCCCACAAATGCCACCAAAAGTCTTGTAGACTTAATAACCAAATTCAGTAGAGTAGCTGGATACAAGGTCAACACAAAAATCAATAGCTTTCCTGTACATGAACAACAGACTCACTGAAAGAGGAACTGGAGAAACAACTCCCTTCACAATGGCATTAAAAAAAATGAAATACCTAGGAATCAACCTAACAAAAGAAATCTAAGACCTCTACTCTGAAAACTATAACACTCTGAAAAAAGAGATGGAAGAGAATATCAGAAAATGGAAAGCCATCCCTTGCTCCTGGGTAGGAAGAACCAATATGGTGAAAATAGCCATATTTCCACAACTGCTATATAGATTCAATGCAATCCCAATTGAAATCCCAGCAGCATACCTCACACACCTTGAGAAAATAATCCAAAAATTCATTTGGAACAAGAAGAGACCCAGAATAGCAAAAGGAATTCTAGGCAACAAACACAAGGCAGCAGGTATCACAATCCCCAACTTGAAACTACACTACAAAGCTACTGTGATGAAAACAGCATGGTACTGGCAAAGAAACAGACTAGAGGATCAGTGGAACCAATTAGAAGATGCAGAACCAACTCCAGACACACTCAGCCACCTCATCTTTGACAAAGGAGTCAAACATCCTCACTGGAGGAAAGATAGCTTCTTTGATAAATGCTGCTGGAAAAATTGGGTTTCAACTTGCCAAAGATTAAAACTAGATTAAAACTGGTACGGTGGCCCAGAAGCTTTCTCTGTGTTGGGAGTGGGGGTACGGCCACCTGGAAGCCTCCTCTGTGCTGACAGTGGTGGTACAGTGCCTGGAAGCCTCCTCTGCACTGGGAGTGGGGGTACAGCAGCCTGGAAACCTCCTCTGCACCAGCCTACATTTTGGTGTCTGATAATCTTCTTTTTCTCCTCATTTTGGTCCCTAACCTGACCTATTGCTACCCTCTTAAATTCCTCAGCCCACTCTATCTCCCACCCAGTAATCCTACTCCTCTTCTTCTGATCTGTTTTCCAAAGTGCTCAGCATCTTTTAACATGCCATGTAATAAAGTTATTTGTTATATTTATTGCTATTGTCTGGCTCCCTTCACTGAAAAGTTGGAATCCTCATGGATAGGATAATTTTTGGTTTAATTCTTAGATGTTTCCAATGCCTAGGGCAGCACCCAGCACATGGTAGGTACTCAATAAATATTTACTGGATGAATGAATGAGTTATGTGGCTTTCTCCTGGATTTTGTAGCCTTGCAGTCTAGGTAGACAGTCCATTCTCAGGAGATTCTCAGTGGCTCACCTGCAGGGCTGCTGCTCAGGCTTTTTTGATTCTCCCATTGAGTTAGAGTGGGAGGAGGAAAGGAGGGAGAGGGAGAGGGAGAGGGAGAGGGGGAGAGAAAGAGAGAGAGAGAGAGAGAGAGAGAGAGAGAGAGAGAGAGAGAGAGAGAGAGAATTGGCTGGCAGTGGAGCATTCCTACTTACTGCTGGCTTTATGACTTCATGCTGCTTAAGCATTATGATTCTGTGATGGATAGTCTAGTCCCCTCTGTCTCATAAGAGGACACTGAAGAAGGTGCCTCCCCTGCCCGGGCCTGCCCAGATACAGAGATGTGGCTCACAAGCTAGCCTCCACAGTGTCAGCTCTGACCACTCAGGAAGCTTCTGAGTCCATGTGCTTTTATGAATTTCTCCAACTGTATTTTTCACTGTGAGTGGAAGTAGAGCCAAGATAGTGCTCTCAATTTAAAACTGCTTGACCCCAATTTTATCACTCACCTTTCTTTCAACATTGTCATTGATGTTATTTTATGTTACCACATTGAAGATTCTGCTCCTGTTGACTAAGCTAAAAGCAACCTTATGTATATGTGTATATAATTTTCTCCTTAGCTGAATTACAGATTTTCACGAGTGGTGTATTCAAAGAGATCTGAGTAAGTGTTGCCTTTTTCTACCAGTTTTCTTTCTCTAGATAACATCTTCCTCTTAAAGTTGACAAAGACAATTAATGTAATGTTTACAATCTATTTAACAAATATTTAATTAAATAGCAGTTTGTTCCAGCCACTCCTCTAAGTTCATCTGTGGTAGTAACTCATTAAACTCTCATGCCATATCACAAGGTAGAACTTGTTATTATTCCCATTTTATAGATGAGGAAAACAAGGCACAGAAGCATAATTTGCCCAAGCAACATAGAAGCAAATTGATATAACTTGCCAAGGGAGTATCCCTAGTAAGTGAAAACCCAACTTTATAGATCATATCTCTGGAACCCAAACTGAGTCTTTGAATCATCCCTGTGAAGATCATTTGGTTTTTTTTTGGTACCAGGGATTGAACTTGGGTCCTTGCGCTTGCGCAGCAGGCGGTGAAACCACTCAGCTAAATCCCCAGCCCAAGATCATTTGCTTTTGTTCTGCAGTCATCTTAAATGGATTGTGAGGTGAAAAAAAGTAGCAACAGCAAGGCAAAGAAAGACAGAATACTTACTGTGGTAGGGGCATTGAGTGTCCAAGATCAAGCTTAGGCAATGTGCGTTCTGCAGACATTCTTGGCATAACAAAGCAAGGGGCTTCCTGGAAAAGACCAGTGAAACTTGAGAGGGTGTGCAGTCCCAGCAAGGTTTTGGGGGGAAATGAAGGGGTGAACTGGAAAGGACCATGATTTTCTCACTTTACTGATGGCTGGAAATGGGAAGTTAAGAAAGCGAGGCAGAAAACTCAGTGTGTCCACTCAGAATTCACAGCAGCTGTGTCTGCATCCCTTAGGTGGAGATCTGTCCTAGAGGTGGTCCTAAGCATAGGGTGTAATTGCTATGCTGAGACTTTAGATGGCCTCCTCAGGACCTCCTCACACTGAGGTTACTGTGACATTAACTCAGCCTTTAAAAAAATTTCTTTTTTCAATACTAGGGTTTCAGCCCAGAGTCTTCTCACTAGGTCATATCCCTAGCCTATTTATTTATTACTTATTTGTTTATTTATATTTTGAGACAGGGTCTCTCTAAGTCACTAAATTGCCCAGGCTGGGCTTGAACTTGTGATCCTCCTGCCTCAGCCTTTCAGAGTGATGGAATTATAGGTGTCCACCACCATCCCCTTTTTAACCCAGTTTTTTCTGTTGCTGTTTACTTTGATTGCTTTCAGATTCCTCTAATGAGATCTTGGAATAAAGCAGAGAGAAGGGGGGGGGAGAGAATTTCAGAGAGTCTTAGTATTGTGTCAACAGGTTGGGAGCGAAGGGATCCTTGAGAACAGAATCTTATCTGAAGGGATCAAGAGATCTGATATGCAATGTTAAACTTTTGCTCTTCTACCTTATAATCTCTCCTATTATCCTCAGTCTTTAGTAAAGTTTGTTAAATACTCAGTGCATGCTAGCAGGGCTTTGGGAAGCAAGGGCTGGTATTCACTCTGGGGACAAAGTGGACTAGAAGTGATGTGGCTCCAGGTTTCTCCTCGTTTCCCAAAGTATCAATAACATAAACTTGTTTTTAGCACTAAAAACTGGGGAATAGTGAAAGGGAAATGTGAGATTTTCTTAATCAAGAGCAGAGTGCTCACAGGGATGGTTAAGTGGGAAGAGCAACAGCCTGAGATAAGAACACATCAGTTCTCCCTGGATATCGATGGTGGGACACAAGAAAGGGAGAGGGTCCAGGATTGCCTGTCTTCTCAGGATGTGGGGCATGACGTGGATATCATGGTGGGGAAAACCTTGGAAAGCTGAGAGCAGAGTAACACTGGGCTGCTAAGACCCTGGAGGAGATAAGCCCCTGAGGACAGTATGCGGTCACCTGCTCAACTCTGGTCCTGGTCCAGCCCCCATACCTCCTGGGAGGGAAAGTGGATCTAAGGAAAAGCTAGTTTTACTAGCAAAAAAACCTGATAAGGCATTGTGGCAGCTTTCCTACAGTCATGTTGCTCTGGAACTTTCTTCTGAGGTGTTAGGAGGTGCTGGGTAGGGGCTCATCATCACCAATAAATAATCAGGCAATTTTCATGGTTCAAGGAGCCAGATCCAACACCCAGTAGGAGGGAGGGAGCAGCAGGAGGGTCAAGGTTGCCTGGGAAGTCCCAGGAACCTGCATGAGAAACAGAAGACCTACTCATGAGCACACACAGTATACTCTGAAGGAACTTCAGAACATATTGGAGAGACTCAATAAGGTTCTACATTAACTAGCTTCAGAGAAAGTAGAATGTGTACTTAAATTTTTAAAAAATTGAGGTAAAATTTTGTATACAGTTGAATACTTATATCTTAAGTGTGTAATTCCATGAGTTTTGACAAAAGTATATGCTTGGAACCAACACCACAATCAAGCTATGGCCCATTTCCATCACTCTGGAAACTTCCCTCTGCCCCACTCCAGTGAATGCCCCCACTCATAGCCAACTCCGGGTGTAATTTCTATTATGGCAGACTATTGTGATTATCTTGAATTTCAGGTGAATGAAATTATATAGCACATGCTCTTGTATTTGACATCTTCATTTGACATGTTTTTGTAATTCATCCATGTTATTTTGTGTATCTACTGAACAATATTACATTGTATGAATACATCACAATTGGTTTGTCCATTCTTCTATTGATGGACCTGTGGGAGGTTATATCTAGTTCTATGGTTATTATGAATAAAACTGCTATGAACAGTTGTGGACAAGTTTTGTGTGGCCATATATTTTCATTTTTCTTGGGTGAATATCTAAAATGAAATTGTTGGGTCATATAGTAAGTGAATGCTTAAATTTCTAAGCAACTGCTGCTTTTCTGAACTTATTGTACCATTGTACCCTCCACTGGCAATGTTTGAGGGTTCTAGTTATTTCACATTCTGGCGAGCATTTAGTATTCTCAGTCTTTAATTTTAGTCATTCTAGTCATTATAAAGTGTTATCTTGTGATTTAAATGTGCATTTCTCAGGTTGTGCTTTTTTCATGTATTTATTGGCTATCCATATTATCTTTTTTGAAAAATCTATTCCATGTCTTTAGTTCATTTTTATTGGATATTAAACTTTTTACTATTTTTTATATGAATTC